CCAGATGTCCGCACAATAAAAATTGAATCGGCATGGATATTCCAAAATGAAAAACAGTTAATTAGTGAATTTTCATTCCAGTTTTCATTTTTTATTTAGTGTTAATTAGTACTTCTCACATGACAGGGAAAAGCATCAAGTCAAAAACTTTGAAATATACCCAAGTATAAGTATATATACAAGTAAACCGTAATGTTTATATAACTGTTGCGCTGATAAAACAAAATGGTGAATAGAAAAATGAGAGAACAGAATGCATCTTAACAGACCGAAAAATGCATGTCGCTTGAAGTACAGACAAAATTCGTGTATTTTGCTGTCAAGCAGTGTGCCCGTATACATAGATGCTAATCACGTCTCTGACTCGATTCTTGTATGCCTGTATAATGCATGAGATGGATACTGTGAATCAAGCATGCCCGAATTGTAAAAATAGACTAGTCTTGGGTTGTTACTCGTGCAGATAAAGACAAACACAGCAAATATCATTGGTCGCACGAACGAGGTTTTTCGTTCATTACAGTAGTTCATTTTATTCAGTAACCCAGTGAGAACATCATCAAAGAATAACATTACTCTTTTAATCTCAAAAGTCAGGTTTGATCTACAGACATAAAAAGAAGATTCACTTCTTGACTGTGTAGTGCAGATTCTTGATAAAAAAAAGACGCGCCTGTTATGAAGCCAAATTACAGAATAACGGACTAGTCACGCCAGTATCGGCAACCTCTTGTAGTAGGCGTTTATAGTAGTGCTTCAATAATTAAGATATACTAAGAGGTTTTTTTATTCTATGTGGTTGGCTTAGGTTGTTTTCAAATCAACGAGGATCCTGCTCCAGGGATAGGACACTTTTGTATTTTTGTCAAAGTTTATGAATATTCCTCATGATCAACTAATGTAGACGTTTCAGATCAACTAAGTTCCTTGTTAATATAAATCCTGTATTTGAATAATGAGACGCCTTCCAACACCAAATTAATTTTCTTCTTCATTGTAGTGCGCGTGTAATCTTTTCCACAGTGAGATTTACTTTGCATTCCAGAGCAAAATGGACTAAGCAAGGTGTAGTAGAAGAGGTAAACATTTTTTTCTCAACAGTTATGAAAAGAGAATTTGCTTGACTATAACCGACCGATACTTTTATCCTTCTGACTTTTGTAGATGGAAATAAGTCCGTTTTTCCTCATTTAGACTAAGAACAGAGTAGGAAACAAAAATTTCATTTGGTTTCTTATAAAAGAAACGTGTTTGATATCTGTTGGACTGAAACAAAAAAAAAGACTAAAAGAATGATCGATTGCATACATTGTACCAGTTTTTGTTGTATTACTGACTTACGCTGGAATTTTTTCTAAGGATGAGGAAAATATCGAAAACAGGAGATTAACTTTTTTTCTATTTTTAACAGAAATTTTTTATTCAGTTTCAAGTGAAATAAAAAAGCCGTGAGACTGGTTTTTCCAACTACTGACATAGGTATTATTTAGTAGAATTAATCTATGTCTAACATATACGATAGTCAAATCTGCTTAAATAACTAAAATGAACAGTCATTTTGAATAGTGGAAGGTACCTTAGATATAATCGGTCACTTAGTATTTTGATCAAAACTACTTTTCTAACATTCTAAAAACTCAACTTTTTGCAAAAGCTAGACGTCCGAATTTTATTACAAAGCGTAAAATTGGGTCGCTATATGATTAATAGTGAACAACTTTAAAACAGTCAATTTTTTTCTCAAGTATCTTTAGCAAATTCAAACTTCTTTTTTAACCTTAATATAAATAGGTGTTACAATACATCAGACTGACTTATCTGATACTTTCATGCGCTTTCGCATGTTATACAATATGATATTTCAACACATGAAAGATAATCTGGAAAAACTTCTTGTGACTTTTCAGCACGTAGCTCTGAAAAAAAGTTGAATTTCTAGAATGTGGAAGAAAAGTTTCTGAAAAAAAACGCATTTAGAATTTAAAATTATTGTTGATGATTTATTCTCTTTTAGATGTGCACATTAGCTCGTGAATCACTAATGCGTTCATTTCGATTTCTTTTCACTAAATCTCATGCCACTAATATTAATAATATAAATCGACGTATGTTGAAGCAGAAAATCTATGTCAGAAGTTCCAGATAAGAAGATACTGTTTTCTTCTTGTGTAGATTTGTCTTTGATACGTTCATTCGAATCAACTGTTGATTATCGTCGACAACAAGCTCGACGAACCGTTCTTGTACATGTGAGTGAAAAAAAGAAAACTTTTTCTTGGCTGCTTTTACTCTATTTTTTTGTTTTATTCTAGCTTGGTCGTAGCCACTGTGAAACAGATTTATACAAAATGTGTTCTGGAATAGGAACAATAGCAAATATGACTTTATATACAGCAAATAAAAAAGTATCTCGTATACAGCCTTGAATCTCATAAATGTAAAACAAATTGCTTTTTATTTTCTAGGAATGTGCTCTAATCGAATTTACCACTGAGCAAAGTGTTAAATTGTTATTAAATCAAAGTACTCACTTTACGAACGAGAATCGACTACCGTGTGTATCAAGAAATCTTTATTTTATTGTATGTCGTTTTGTTTATTGTTTTAGTGACCTTTTTTTTGTGCTTAATTCTTTTATTACATTTAGTCTCAGAATCCTTCACCAAAAAATAAAAATTTCCTTATTGGAAGAGAAATTGAACGGTCAGATGATTCAATTGTTGTTCAATCGCTGGGAGATATAAGTAATGTAAGGTAGATTTTGTTTCTTTTGATATCATTGCCTACTGTTGTCATTTCTTTTTCTTCTCCTTATTGAGGTTAGTGATCAAATAAAACATTTCTGGCATAAAACAAAATTAACAGAAATTGATATTAGATTAAGATATTTTGTAGCATCAATTATTGAAGGTAATTTTTTCTATTTTACGAAATATTATTCCTACATAGTCCATTGTCTATTTTAGAAGCGTTTAGTAGTATATTTGTTGATACTGTTTGTTTACCATTTGGCTCGTCTGTAAGTACATTCGGTAAATTAAATTGTGATTTGGATATGGTGATGTGTTTTGAAGATTTTAGAGCAAAAAATGTAAGTTATTTCGCTATCATATGTATTCTAAAAAATTATTTTTGTTTTTATTATTTAGTTACAGTTACAACGTGAAGAAGAACATACGCAAGCTCAAAAATTGAGATTTTTAACAAAACGAAGTTATTTGACTGATCGATTTCAAGCACAGGCATATCTAAAAGTGAGTTTTAATTGTTATTTATGGGAGAGAGAGAGAGAGAGAGAGAAAATATTTGTCTCTTTATTTTCTAAAGATTTTAGCTGAAACATTGAAACATTTTATGGCTGAATGTACAGATGTTCAAATAATTCTGCCAGCACGTGTTCCCATTGTTCGATTTTATCATCGATTATCCGCTTTACATTGTGATGTATCAATGAGTGAATTTAAGTAAGTATGATCTCTGAACAAAAGAGCAATCAATCTATTTATAATTTCATTTATTTTATTTCTTAAAGATCATCTTATTATATGACAAAATTATTGTGGAGTTTAAGTACAATTGATAGTCGTATAGCACCACTGGTCTTCTCCATTCGATGTTGGGCGAAAGAATCATCAATTACTCAAAGTACACCAGGACCATGGTTTTCAAATTTTCAAATGACTCTCTTGGTTTTATACTATTTACAAAATGTTGGAATTATACCAAAATTGAATTATAATAACGATCATCCCGCACATAATAGTGACGGTAAGATAAATTGTAAATAAAATAAAAAAATGAGTGGAAACGTTGTGAATTCAGATATAAGAAAGAGCTAGAGAGATATTTAAAAATTGACAATGAGCATTCATAAATAAACTGTTAATCGGATAACTGATTTTATTTCTTACTAGAAACTGTATTTTTCTATATTCTAGAAGTTGGTAACGATCAGATTTTGTTAGACGAATTAGAAAGTATTCGTCATAAAAAAATGAATACATTAAATAATAGTTCATTAGGTAAGTATGTTATGAACTGTTAGTTTATTACACAATTGTATCTGATCGAGTCCTAATGTTATTCACTCAAATTTTAGTGAAAAACTGCTTCAGCTAAGAATCATAGAATATATGGATAGTTTTTAAAATAATTTTAACATTTTTGCTATCTTTTTTCTTCTATTTTATTTATTTGTAGCAACGTTATTAACTGGTTTCTTCAAATTTTATTCTAAATATAATTTTGAATCCGAATTAATTACATTATTGAATCGGGAAAACTTAACAAAACAATCGGTACTATCAAATCATAATCATTCTCCACATTTGACTGAACAATTGTCACTATTTAAGAATAGAAGTGGCGGTAATCTAGACAGAGAATGGCCAATATTTATTGAAAATCCTCTCGTACCCCATATGAATGCCAGTAAAAATCTAGTATTATCTGAAGGTGAACGATTTCGTCAAACATGTTCAAAAGCGTACGACATTCTAAATTCTCAAGATTCAAATAACACATTATTATCTCTATTTGAACAATGTAAACAACCATTACCAGATCATTTAATAACAAAGGCATATCCATCTCCACTCTCCATTATGCCTCATTTAGAAACAGATTTAGATATTGGTGAAAATCAAGAGAGTATGATGACAATGATTAGTGATGACAACGTCATTGTACAAGAAAAACAACAACTGTCATCATCATCTTTAAAAAGCGAAACAACGGTGGCGGTTAATGAAATTGAACCAGTTGAGAAAAAGTTAAATGAGACAATCGATTTGTTTATTGATAATTTAATACATGATAAACGTATAATTCGAAAAAGAACAACAACTTAAACTTTTTTGCTCTCTTTTTTTTGTTTTTGTTCTTTCTAGTATTATGTTTTGATGTTACTGTTTATCTATGTCATGAACAGGTTTTTAATTGAAAAAAAGAATGATTTCTTTCTTAGATTTGAAAAATTTTGCAGTCTAAATACATTGTGAGAACAATGATTTGAGAATTATACCAAACTGTTAGCATTCTGTTTTAGCGCTTCTCATATTGACAATAATGTAAACATGTTGACTGATGAATTAGTAGTCGTTATGTCTGACAGTTACGATATATTTCAGTCGTTTAAATTATCGTTTTTTTAACTCAATTATTAATGAATGATAAATGTGTTAGCCTATATGTTGACTTAATAATCAATGAAAAGGGTGGCGTGGCTATTATCATTGACAACGATAAAACAACGAAATGTATCATTAAAATTAGACAATTGTAATCGTATCAGAAAATTTTATTTTCATATTATTTTTTTAGAAGACTTTGTTATTCTTTAATTGTTATCATTAATCGAGATAATATTATGCCAATTCCAAATAGTATTTTAACACTACAACACTTAAAACATTAAATAGTAATTTAATTATTTCGTACAGAGAATAATAATGTAAATATTAAAAATGCACTTTGTTCAGTAATATACTATCATATTAAAACCAGTAGTGTTGTTATATTTCAGATTAGAATCAATAAAAATCACAGGTATGGTAGAGACGTCAGTAGTAATAGTATTATATTAAAAAAATAAACATAGAGGAAGAACAAGTAGAAATATCAGATAGAGTGATGCATAAAAAAAACAACTGAATATGGCTATATTTTAGAAATTTCAACTCTATTTAGTCATCTTAGTATTATGTGATTGACTTCACAAATACATATTATCTCGATTAATGATAACAATTAAAGAATTGTTAACAGAATATATACTGAGATCAAACTATGAAATATTATCTTTTTAGGTACAGCTTTAAAATTAAATTTAAAAAACTTAATGTTCAATGATTACCATTTTTAACGTCTATTTTCGTCACTCAGTCACATTTCAAGATAGAATATAAGCGATATGACTACTTTAATCATAATTTTGGCCATTTTTTTTTCGGATTTAAAATGGTGAAAAGATTGAGAGTTTTACAATTCATTCGTTGAATATATATGCTAAAACAAATGTTGAAATTAAAGCATTTATCATTAGTTGATCTCAGGAAAGATTTTAATTATTCTAGTATTTAAGAATAAAAACATTTTACGTCATCATTACGGTCTCCAATGCAACATTATAGAAAATTCTCTATCTACTAATATCAGTAAAAACAATTGTTCAATTTCAAACGGATCACTATCTCAATTGAATATGTTCGTTTGTAAGCGAAATCGTAGTTCGTCTTGTTGTATGTTATCCCATATCCCAATAAGACATGTCTAATAAACGATGAACTCTATTTGTTTATTTTTTTTTCATATTTTTGTTGTAATTAATAAAATACAATCGTTATTTTTCTATTCAGTTTGTCGCTTAATTAAAAAGAAATCGCTTATGATCATATTTGGTTTTCTTTATGTTTGCATTAATAATTAAGCTATGATTGGGTTTTTAGCAATTTTCCTAAGAATATAATATTCTCTTGCTTACATTTCTTTATTGGTGTTTTCGATTAAAAATGCAAAAATAGTGTGAATATTTTCATATGAATACTTCAGATTGTGTTCCTTTGGTCTGTGAGAAGTGTTTTAAAATAGAGAACGATCCATCCCATTAAACATGATGCTTATATTTTCTTCTAAAAATGATACACGACTGGTTAAACTATTTCGTCAAATTATATGTTGTCTTAATACTTTTTAATGTTTTAGACTATGGCCGTATCTTCTTATCTAGTCATTACAGATATTATATTTTAGTAATTATATTGCTACATATTCACAGAATGCCTGGCTGCAAACTGACATCGGACACATTATTTAAACTAGTCGCTCATACTAATAGTAATAGTACGTGTCGTATTAATACAACAACAGCAACATCAACAACGACCGAAATACTTATAGATAATGATAATATTGATTTATCATCACTCTATACAAATGGCACAACAACATCGTCGAATTTAAATTTAAGTGAAACAGATTTACGTACATTATGGTCACTTTTATCTCAAATGATTCGTCAACGTCTTTTAAGACATGAACCATGTCTATTACCTGAATTAGGTGCATTTGTTATTATTGATCATCCATCATCCGAAGATGATTATCCCATATCAACAAAACAACAATCTCAACGATCATCAGCAATGAACAATTTATTAACAAAAGAACCATTTTTTGTTTTAGATACTACATTTGCTAGACGACATCGATTATCTCGAATTAAAAAGCCAACATTATCATCAGCACTTTCACTCTCATTACAATCATCAGGTTTACAATAAATTTTGACATCAAATTAATTTCTAATAGAGAAGACTATCTATTTTTTTTTAAGGTAATTCAACAATAATCGAACCAAATACAACATTATCATCGTTTAATATGCAAACAATAGATTATTTAAGTTTAATTGAAAAATCAGGTTTAACTGGCGAACAGTTACGCTATTCTATTCAACAAATATTTAATATTATTGACAAAGAAATTCATCCACATCGCTATTGTGATATTGAATTTGATGGATTAGGTTATTTTCGAGTTCTTTTTGGTCTAGGAATATTTGAATTTAGTGATACATTTTTAAATGAATTTCATTCGACGTTATTAACGGCATCAACATCAGATCAGACAGTGACATCACAGCAACAACGATTGTAAGATCATTTATGCAGTGTAGTATATATTTTCTTTCACTATCCTAATACTTTGTAGTCATTTTTGTATTTCATTTTACCCGATAAATATGGTGCTTTGTGTTTTATGTTTATTGTTTGTTATTTAAGCTAAATTCGATTGTTTACTAATTTTCTAAATGAGGCCCAAAGTATTTCTTATCTTGTTTCTACAAGAGTAGTCTCATATATTTAATTGACAATATTCTTATTAAAGAACTACGCTTTAATCTTTTCCTAATCAGATAGGAAAAATCTTCATTCAGCGTTCATTCAGTAAAACAGATCAGTTTTCAAATTACGTATTCATATTCTATTTGAATGCAAATCTAGCAGATTTATAACGTCATAACTGTGCTATTTATTTGTATTTATACTTTCTTCGGAAGTAGGAAACATTGCCTGTATTGATAATATGTACAATTGTTTCCAAGCAATTTAATCTCTTTATCCTTTCTGTTTTTATTTTTGCCGGTGAAATAATTGTCTATAGACGCGTGTTTCATTTTGCAGACTTGTTTCGTATCAGATTTTTTCCTTTTTCTCTGTAGTTGGCAACTAAAAGTAGAAGTCATCTTTCATCATCGACATCAGCTTATCTGCTGATTTACTTGGTAGATTGCCTGGTTGCTACCTTATTTTTGTGTGTTTTTTTCTTTTTTACAGACTACTTTTATTTGCGTTTCACGTATGTGTGTGTGTGTTTTTTGTCAATGAATTACTAAATAAATGAAAGAGCAACTAAAAACTTGATACGATCGAGAAGAATGCGCATCGGTGCCAGAAAAAATGTAAAAATCTCGCATCAGTGCCGAAGTTTTATTTTCAATCACTATTTCGTTTTGTCAATTTCTGCCTATATTAACACCACAGTGTACTTATAATATTTCGAATGTCTTCTGACTTCATATTTTCCTTCTCATAAGAGAAGTGCCGAGGCAATGCCGCATGGTTTTGGTATGTCAATGTGGTACCGCTCAGTGCCGCACTCTAATACAAAATTCAGTATAAACACTCATAATACAAAACTAACTAAATTGATTAAATAAATTTCAGGGTGGCACTGATTTTTCCCAGTGCGGCACTGGAGTTTTTTTATAGGGTTCTGCTTGCGGTGCTACTGAAAATAAAACTTATACTGGTAAATAAATGATCTTACGAGGGAACCTCCCCAGGTTGCAAATTCTTGGCGAGAGAGGGGGAGAGTAGTTTCATGTTCGATGCGATGTGTTCAGTGAAACTACTAACGAGCAACCTCTCCAGGTTGCAAATCGCTTTCGGGCTAAAACCTAGTGGGTCAGAGGTAATAAAGAGTGCTGATTCCGAATATAACAATCATTTTGGCCGATAGGTCTTCAGAGACCGGATTTCTGGAAAACCAGTTTTCAAAACTCCTAAAAAATAACCCAAACGTTTTTTAATGGGGCAGGGTTGTAGCTCGCAGATTCCTGATTAAAATGAGACTTCTCCGAGCTCTACACGATCTTTCTTTGCAAAGTTATATAATTTGCAAGAAAAGCCCTAAGTGTTCATTGTCAGCTCACAGCTACAGAAATAAGAAGAAATTATTTTAGGGCTTTTCTCGTAAATTCTACAACTTTGCAAAGAAAGTGTAGAGCTCGGAGAAGTCTCATTTTAATCAGGAATCTGCGGGCTACAATCCTGCCTCATTAACAAAGACTTCGGTTATTTTTTAGAAGTTTTGAAAAACTGGTTTTCCAGAAATCCGATCTCTGAAGACCTATCGGCCAAAATGATTGTTATATTCTGAATCAGCACTCTTTATTACCTCTGACCCACTAGGTTTTAGCCCGAAAGCGATTTGCAACCTGGGGAGGTTCCTCGTTAGTAGTTTCAATGAACACATCGCATCGAACATGAAACTACTCTTCCCCTCTCTCGCCAAGAATTTTTTACCCCTTGCTAGCACAGTGTTACTTAAAGCAAAAGCAGTATTGTTGCAGAATTTAAAGTGGCAGTTGCTCGATGAGATATCGAATAGCTCAGTGACATGATGATGATGCAATCTCATTAAAGTTAGAGGTAAAGCAAAAGATGTCTGTCCGTAGGATCTGTTGCGAAGTACTGATAATCGATGATATGAATCATGATCTATGTTTCGCTCAAGAATTGCCTTACAATTTGTCAGTAACCTTTGATGCCAATAAGAATGTCGATGGATTTGATAAAAGCGAACATTGTATTATAAAATAGTTTTCAGATACACTTAAAATTCGTAAATTCAGTTGTTAAAAGATCATCTAGAAGTTTTTCGGTTTTTAAGCTAGTTTATACCTTGTTTTTGTTTTGTTGTCCAATATCAATAAGAACAATTTATTTATGAGATTGCAATTAATTCGTTAATAGCTAGGAAAAAGAATATGCTGGTCAACAGACATAATTATCCATGAGAAAAAAGCATCTTGACAATTGCTCAAAGAAAGCATCGGCAAGGTTTTTATGTATTGTACGGCAGTATTTGACAGACAATCTGACTTTAAAAGATTGTCTACTAGTTACTGTTACAGACGGCTTATTGGGTATAGATGTCATAAATTAGCTGATCTCAGTAGTTATCAGTCTGGTTGGCCAAATATGTACAAGCTAATCGAGACATTTGTTGTACTCACAAAGACTTCTCGCAAATTTTTGCCAGAAATAAAAATTTTATAAATATAACGAAAAGTATCAAAATTTAGGATGGGAAGGAAAGCCTTCCACTCTCTTATTCTAATCGGAAACCGTAGTCACTCTTAAAACTTGTGAAAGCTAAACTAGAAAATATCTTTTTCAAGTTCTCTATTTAACAAAAAAAATTCTTCAGAAAGAAACAAGTAAACATACTACAATATTCTAAAACGGCCTTTCCCAATAATCTTTCATAGCTTCTTCATCTGTCATTGTTTTTCTTATATCTTCTAATTCATCAATTTTATATCGAAAATATTTTCCTCTTAAATGTGCTGGCAATACTTTCTTTCCAGAGCATGCCATTTGTCCATTTACCAAACACATACAATAATGTGCACAATCTTTACCAAAATTAGCCGGATTTTCTAGACGTGCTGTCAATTCTGAATCAATACGTTGTTGTAATTCTGATTTACCCATTATACGTTGAATCCAATTATGAATTTCAGTTTTTGTCTTTTTATAACAATCCATATGCACTTTTTCATAGTCAGTTGTTGACGATGGCGAAGACGATTGATCATTATCAAGAGCTAAAAAATAAATGAGAAGATGAATATACTTTTTTCTTTTAGTATAAAAATAAAAATGTAATTGTATTCTTTTTTTTACTTTGTTCATTTGCATCTTGTAGTGAATGATCTTTTGAACAATAAAATGATACAAATGGCGTTGGCGTTGTATTTTTAAATTGGACACATTGTACATGAGGATTTTTATATTGAATTTGTGCTAAATGCCAAAAAATAAAACGTCGTAAACCATCGCTACTTGGTTTATCCAATGTATAATTCATGGTAAATATTTTCACAATTGGACGAAAAACAATTGTACCAGACTCTAAATATTTAATTGTATTACGCCATGGTGCAGCACCACGCATAAACGTTGGTGCAGGCATTTTATATCTAGAAAAAAATATTTTATCTGTTATTACAACTATTTTCTACTATATAACATCTTTCTTCTAAAATTATTTAACAAACACGTTTGAAGGAAAACAATGCCGTTAGATGAATGTAGTTGGACATTCGAAGAAGTGGAGCATTACTTTGTATTTGTTGTATGACTAAATAGAAATGTTCTCTCACAAGGGACTTTTTCCAACTATCTAATTGCTTTCTGGTCGAGACCTAGTTGGTTATAGGTTATCGACCGCACTGATTCCGAATACCCATGTGAGACGGGCCGCCAGGCCGTCCATGAGCGATTTTCCAGAAACCTCGAAAAGTCCCTAAAACTTTCTCTTAATAGATCACGATTGTAGCCCACGACATCCTGATCAAAGTGAGGCATCTCCCACCTCTACATGACCTTTCTTTGCAAAGTTATAGAATTTACAAGAAAAGTGGGCTATAATCGTGATCTATTAAGAGAAAGTTTTAGGGACTTTTCGAGGTTTCTGGAAAATCGCTCTAGGAAGGCCTAGCGGCCCATCTCATATGGATATTTAGAATCAGTGTGGTCGATAACTTATTACCCACTAGGTTTCGACCAGAAAGCGATTAGACAGTTGGAAAAGATCCCTCGTCAGTCTCGCCTATAGAAAATAAAGGACACTTCCACCTCTCTTCTTTCAGATTTATCGTTGAGTTTTAAACAGTAAACGTTTATCTGGATTAAAATACTAACATCAATAACTATTAAAATGACATAGAGTAAAAAAAGTATATAGCAGAAAAAACATAGATTAAAGAAACTATTACTAAAAGTTAAACATTAAAAGGAATGATCCAGTATTTCCAAACAGAAATGAGCATTATCACAAATTACATCAAAAATAAGATCTAATACTAGAAGAGAGAAAAATCAGTAAAAAAAGAAGAAAAAAAGAAGGGTAAAATTTTTCTTTTTTTCATATTAAGTCATGGAAAAACAGATATTATCGCAAACTGACATTGCACAACACTGTGGTTTGTATGAAGGCATACTAACAATTCACTGACTACATTAAAATAACTTTTAAAAATTTGCTCACAATATTTTGTTTAAAAAAAAAAAGCTTTTTCTTGTAGTTAAATTTTAAAAAATCCGTTTTTGAACATATTCCAAGTCCAAGAGTCAATCTAACATATCATCTAATCTCATAAAAAAAAAGAAAGAAGAAAAATTACTCATCTTTCACTTAATTGATTGTCAAAAAAATTAAAAGATGTCTTATCACTCGGTTGACAAAAAAAAATAATTAGTACCTACATTTCACTTAAATTAAAACATTTGATATTAATAATTTGTTTCGTTTCCATCAAAATCTAAATATTTTCCATTATCTTTTAACGATAAACGATCAATTGTTTTTAACATTTTTTTCACTGCATTTTCTTTCGTTTCAAAATGTGCATTAGGTAATAATTCTTTATATGCATGTATCATTTCACTATTAACAATACCTGGATGCATGGCTACACACAATAATGGTTTGTCACTTTTATCCAAATGACTAACACCTTGTGATCTATCACCAAATTCAATAGCTAAATTTTTTGTTGCCATATTTAATGCACATTTACTTAAACGATATGCATACCAACCGCCCACTTGATTATTTTTAATTGATGCTAATTCAGCTGATATATTTAAAATTATTGAAGCATATGATCCATCTATAATATGAAACACATCAATGTTTTTATATTTAAAGATTAACTTCAAATACTACTTACTACTGGTATTTCCAAACCGACTACATCCTTTTTTCAAATATTTCATTAATATTTTTGTAATTAATAATGGTCCAACAACATTTACTTGATAAACATCATTTAAATCAATTCCGAGTACATCATTTAAATTTGTTTCAACACGATTTGATGGATGATAAATGTGTCCACAATTAATTAACATATCTAAACCACGATCATGTTTTAAATCATTTAAACATGTTTCTACAGAATTTGAAAAGTTATCAAATTCATCATGATGTCTAACATCTAATTGTATAACATCTAAACGATGTAATGAATCATCTGGTTGATGATCTTTTTGTAAATTTGTTAAACGTTCGGCCATTCGTATATTACGACAAGTAGCGATGACATGTGTGGGTTTTTCACGTTTTAATAATGCACGAACAAATTCTAAACCGATGCCACGTGATGCACCTTGAACAAGAACAGTGGCTTTTGGCATAGAAAATCTAAAATGTCAAAAAATAAAATTTCGTAATGATCAATAAATATACAATCGCTAGAGTATTCAGATTATTAGTTTTTTTAATTTTTTTTTTATTCTATTAATTATCTGACAAGAATATGTAAGAATCTTGTTTAAAAAAATATAAAACATCAACAATAACAAAAATGGTCACTGTTCTTGTTCATTTTCTATTTGCAATTTATAAACCTGAAAACGATGATTTGTCTTTTTTAAACAATGTAATTTATATTTGGTACCTAATGCTCCATAATCAACTGTTTCTAAATAATAAACTTTCGCTATTCGAGAGTGTAATAATGCCATAGCACACATCATACATGGCTCATGTGTCAAATAGATAAAATAAGAATTACATAGATGATTAGTTGTTGGTTTTTCTACCGTTGATGATAATAAAAATTCATAAAGAAAATTTTTTCGATTATGATAACAACCACCATTTGACATTTGTGCAATTAGATCAATAGCGATCATGGTACAATGTTGTAGTGGATGTTCATGACGATAATCAATTGTAGCGACGAGTATTTCATGTTCGGAATTAGTTACCACAGCACAATGTTGGCTTTGAACAGCTATTAAATAGAAAGAAACAGAGTACCGAACACAACAGATATGATTAGAATTGAGAATAGGTATCTTTCTTGTAACTACTAATTGAAAGCTAATCGGATTATAAGAGGATGACAAACAAAGAGAAAAAATCTAAAATGGCAAAATTCAAACATAAGTTTAACCCTTTCCAACCGGTAATTTTTGAAACACAACAAAAATTGTTACCATATGGCAACATCCGGCTGGAAAGGGTTAAGGAAGTTTCAGTTGGGTAAATCGAATAAGATTTAATATGTAAAAACTTTAACAGACTCGTGAACTTTCGTGATCAACGAAAAAAATCTACTGTTTTTGATTAATGCTCATCAAGTTAAGTTAATGTTAATTAAACTTAGAATATCTGTGAAAGGACAATTCCAGATTGATCTAGGCTAACTACGAATCTTTTGTAAAACATGGATTTTAGTTCAACAATGAGATTTGAATCCTGTATTTGAATTTTTTAAACTTTAAGTTAACTGTAGAACATTCGATAGGCATTTAGGGACATCTAATGATGAGTGTATGACAAAATAACATCCGGTTGTTGTAAAACGTAAACTACTAGTAATACTAGTGGCAAGTTTTGCTGATATCGATACCTTTTCTCTCAATTCTCAAATGGGCATGATACCTATTTGTTCTCTCGCTAATGTTAAATTAACTCGGCAAGCATTAATTGAAAATAATTGATTTTTTTCGTTGATTACAGAGCCTATAAAAGTTTGTACCTATTGAGTCTTATTCTGCTTATCCATCTGAAACTTCCTTAAGCTTCTCTATGAATTTTGCTATTTTTACATTCGCCCTTTCTTGGGTTATTTACTCAATACTTTTTACTCCCGCTGACATATACAAAAAATGACATCGAGTTTTTCTCATATCAAAACTTGGTCAGAATTTGGAGTTTTTTATAGCGTAAAATAGTGGTCTTTATAAGTGTCTACTTGGAATTGGTACATCTCTAACGAGAAGTGATAAATTGCCAATAACTCGGCAATTCTACTTTCAACTCCCTTATTCTTACAAAATCGTAAATGAAGTATACTACAAAGAGTCTAAAAGTATTTTGTATATATCTTACCATGATTTGTTTGTAGTTGTTTCAACATGTCAATAATAGCTTCTTCCTTCGAATTTATTTCATTTTTTTTATTTGAATATTCTTGTTCTAAATATTTATTTTCTCTATAACTTAAATTTGGCCAATAATTCTTACGACATTCTTCATATTGCCATTTTAATAGTGGCTGTTTTTCGGGTATTTGAACAGTTGTTACATTATTCATATGAAAATATTTAGATAAAAATTCTTGTGGATATATTTTATCGAGAGTATCTATCGATCGACAAAGTAAAATTTCAATTTTTTGTTGTTGATTTTGTTCATCAGTTGTACAATAGATTCGTTTAACATGTTTATATTTTTGCCAATTAAAATATTCATTAACTTGTTTTAAAATGAGAGATGTTTGTTTTGAATCAATTATTTGACAACATAACATTGAAATAAGAGTGGGTATTTGATATAAATCATCATCTAAAATAGCTTTCCATTTTGAAATATCATTTAATAATGATCGTTGACATAAGCGTTTGGCATTAGACACCATTATTAATATCTATAACAGAGAGAAACATAGATAAATTCTAGTTCATTATCGTATTAAAATCTTGTCACATGAGTCAATTAGAAGAGCTCTCGATTCTGTTGGAGAAATGAGAAAGTGAAACATATTGTTTCAATAAGATGTAAATGTGATTTTTTAAATTTTACTTTTAGTATTTATTAATTTTAGCGCAAGAAAATTTTCATCAGAATAACATCTAATATATCCATATTTTTTTGAATTTATTGTTTTATTTTAACAGTTTCAACCAGTGTTATTCATATGTTTACGTCATATATTATTGTTGATGAAATATTTATTATAACAGTGCAATTATTCATCAGTAACCCTTGTTCAGTAACAAATAAAAGTGCATTATAAAAAAAGATCATTATATTTATTGATGGATAGTTCAGATCGTCAACGTACCAATTATTCTAGTGCAATTGAATGACTATTTCTTCAAATAAAAGTCGTTTCTCAGTCCATCACTTTCGCCGATAATTAGAGATATGAAATTCGACTAATACTCGTGCTCAATTCAAGGGGTGAGTCTATCATTCATGCACATCTCTACCGACAATAGACAACTAGATATATAAATCAAGCCGTTTATCACAATAGCGCTGTATATGAATTCAACTGTGCATATGTAACCTTATTCATAGATTTCTTTAAAAAATACACATTTTTTGTAATAAGAATCTGATTCTCATGAGTAACTTAATAAGCATATATCTCATCGTGATATTTACAGACTACTTTGCATACAGTATGTATAAAATATCAACACAATTCTTTGAACAATTTCTTTTATAATAGCATCATTCTCATACGTGGCTGATAAACAAAGAATGTAACGCTCATACGATTGAAATTGTTCGACATTTATTAATTAAAATGTTGATAGAACGAGTTTGTCCAAAGAGTTCAAAACTAAACGTTTATTCAATTCTTTAAATCAATTAATATGGCAAAAGTCCCATGTTTTTTTATGGACATTTCTTTGATGATTGTTTTATGAGTCATTTTAAGACTGAATTTCCACACTTCTCATTGCTGTGGTACTGTCGATTCTTTGTTAAAATACTTCAACTTTTTGTTGACAGCTTCTTTACTACGATCTCTTTCAATAATAGTTGAATATATGAATTAGATCTCTTTATTACTATATTCTATTCATTTCATTTCGTAATTAGTTAATGATTCTTACTACTCATAAATTTTCGATAAATTGAAACTTGTTTTTCAATCATTTCACTCAGTTGACTTCATTGTGTGTTTTTTAAACTCATTCAGTTCCATCGCACAATTGTTCATTTAACATAAGGAGACTCTTGGATGACTTTCATGCAATTTGTCAAAATTTTTTGTTGATATTCAATCTAAATCTTCTTATATATTACAGTTTTGAGTTTATTATCAGCTTCTATACACAAATTCTCCATCTGATATATTCGATTTTAAGGTAATTATTAAGGCTCAAAGATATTGACAATTATGCAGTGGGATCTCAAACAGAAAATATAGACTACAGTTCAAGAATCTAGCACTAGCAATTTTTTCCTCAAAGTTTTCCTTATTAATCTTCTCTTATTGGTAAAAGAAAGCAATATCCTAGCAACATGGCAATCGGCATCAAAAGATCACGATCCGAATAAGGAAACCAACTATAAAGGTAAATTAATGACGTTATGTACAAAACAAATCACATAAAAAAATAATATTAACCTGCTGAAGAGCAAAAAATGGTTTGTTTAATTCCAGCATCTACTCTTCTTCCGGTATATGGCAGACGCAAATGTTGTTTCAATTGTTTTCGTCTAAAGATATTTTTCATTTCTATATATTGTATTGCTTTTTGATCATTCTGATTAGTTAAAGTACGTTTCACTAGACAATCATCAGCTAAATCCAATACGATTTCTTTCAGCATGAATATAATCATTTCCGATAAATGTAAATCATTTGAAAGAACTGTTGTGGATGATTTTGAAGCATATTTTTCAAGTGGTATTTGTAACCAATTGAGAATATTTTTATCTGAACAATAATGAAGACGAGCAAACAGACGATGTTGTGTTTCGATTAATTCTAGATATTCTTTTTCATTTAATGTTTTACAATAACAATCGAAACGAGAAAACTGACGATAACGTTGTTTATCGATACATTCCATATTACCATCAACATCATTGATACACTAAACAGAAAAAAGAAACTGAGTAGATTTACATTATCACAAAACAGAAATATTTTCTCTGAATTTTATTCTCTATGATGGGTTGACTCGATCACTCCTAATTGCGTTTCATTCGTCATCTCTTTGTGTATTATGAGTGTATTGATAATACGCTCTTTAAGAATGGAATCGCGACTTTATTCTTACTATATTATCATTTGTTTGTTTTTCTTCTATATTGATAGCCAGTGTTCCACATAAATTATTAAATCGTTCGTAAATGGACCATTTCGATGTAGTGGTCATGTTTGTTGTTGTTGTTTCGTTCTGTTCTGTTAAATGTTTTGATTGCACTTTTATTCTGATATATTGCCTTAAACGTTTTAATCTTGTCTGATTATGTCTCAATAAATATAAAAGATTGCCAAACAGCGATTTTGATAAATAATTGGATGATTGACAAGAAAAATAATTCAAATAGATTGTACGAATTTCCAACCGAATATATTCTGTTACCATCTGCGTTATTGACGATGGTAAAGGATAACCGTTTCCATTCATACGTAAACAATTAGAGATTAAATTCAAAAATAATTTACTAGTTTGATCAGGAACATAAGTCATTGCCGTACCCTTCTTAGACATTTTTATCTAAAAAATAAAAAAAAGATAACAGTGAAAGATTTATAATGTAAATCTAACTAAAATGACTGAAACGTAGAATCCATGCAGAATGTCAGAAAAACTAAATAAGTTAAGTTTGATTATTACCAGAAAAATGATCTTTTGCAGTACAATGAATTTAAAAGAGTTACATTAGAAAAAATTAGATAAGACGAGGAAAAAAAAATAAAAGATAGAGAAAAATTAGATAAGACGAGGAGAAGAATACGCAATAAGTAATAAAAAACAAACAAACAAACAAAGCCCCAGACTCAGTTATTCACCTTTCTTCTTTAACGTCTTTTAAAACAGCTTTACTTCAGTATCCCTTCCAGTGAAACGTTTGTCAGTTAAGAATTTATATTTGTTTTTTTTGCTTATTTTTTTAAAATTTTTGTTTTTGCTACTTCTGGTTCTAACCATAGTTGTCTTCTTTATTTTGTTCTTTTTTATTACTCTTTTAGTGTTGTTTGGCTTGAGTCATTGTTATTACAGGTCGATGACCTTTGATGACCCTCACTTTTCGTGAATAAAACACTCTTAGTCTTAGTCTTAAAAGCCAGCTGTATCCGAAAGTATAAGAGGTTTCGCAAATACTCAACCTCTCTTTATAATAATTTGTAATAAAAGCAAGGCACGATATATTTGTACAGGGAAACGTTGTATTTGTGCACTTTTTTGAGAGGACTACGCTCTCTTTTTTTCACACTGTGATGACAGGGAACTCTACACACTCCAAGTAGTTCGGTAAAAATATATTGCTACGGAATGATTAATTAACCGAAACAGCCTTTTCTCCACTACAATCTTTTACGCTCATGATACATCGTAAACAAACGCTGGAGCAATCTTTATAATCAAAGTAAAAAGCAATAGGCGGATTGTGATTTCTTGCTTGATTTCAACTTTTACTTCTGCCTTGCACTATTAGTTGATGTCCCATAACGTAAACGTCCTTAAGTAACGAAAGAAAACCAATCAAATTCCAATCAGTGACTCTATGAATAATTGATGATAAATAAGCGTGTGGAACAAATCAAGGATTGCTGTATCTACTACTTAAACATTTTTGTACATCTATGTAGTGGAAATATACAACTTCGTCTGATGCATATATACCTTACTGAATTTAGTATATGATTGGTTCACTAATGACATTCAGTACGCAGAATCTATAGTTTTTACTTGCAGAGCAAGAGAAACAAGGTAACGCTCGTGTCCACTCGATCCCTTGACTTTAATAACCTGGATCAGCGCTACTAAACGCCCTTTCGCGACTTTTAAATCGAAGACAATGCTCACGCCTACCTTCGGTCGGCGGTCGCTGGGAGCCCAACTAAGCCATCTGCTTGAATTTTTTCTGTTTTCGTGTGTAAGGTTCGTAATCTAATATAAATATAAAAGACAAAAAGATTCTTTTTAAAAACCAACCTCTTTTTTTCAAAAAGAGTCTTTTAAAAAGCAGAGGTCTAAAAACAGTTCTGAATTCAAAACATTGCTCACGCCTCCCTTCGGTCGGCGTTCGCAGCCACTAAAGCTGAGAAACGCTGTGAACTACTCTGATTCCATGGAAAAACCGTCTAATGTAAATAAAGCTAAAAGTTTTTCTGGACAGCCTCTGCGGATCCTACGGAGATGGGAAGTATTTTTAATCGATTTGCTATGATAGATTATTTATACACTATAAGTTTTATTATCCGTAGGCGACTTTTTTTGTATTATCACAGTTGACTGCTATCTCGCGACATCAATCCCGGGCCTATAGAAAACGGGAACTAGGTAACGCTCGTCTGCATTCGCTCAGTCCCGTGACTTTAGGAACTTATATCTGCGAACAACCCTCCATCACTTTTGAATCCATGACAACGCTCACGACAGTATTCGTTTAGCAGGTGTTGTCCCAAATACCTGATGACACTACAGCTGGTGTAAAAATATAGTTCAATGTTTTAATCGCAGAACGAAAAAGAACATCACGAAGAAGAAGATCACGAAAAAGAACATCACGAAAAAGAACATCACGAAGAAGAAGATCACGAAAAAGAACATCACGAAAGCAGAAAATCAAAAAAAGAAAACAAAACACAATAGCAATAAAAACATTACATACGAAATTGTCGAATATCCGTTAGAATGGCGGGAAACATGTTCTTATGGACCGAGCGGTACCAGAACTCGTGTAAATGGCTATCTAATAATGATGAGCCACGCATTGTTCTTAATATTTTGATTTTTGCTTGACCCCATAAGCACTCAATTAACTGTGTGTAGCTACCAGTGTGGGGATCAACAAAATTTTGACTGTGGTTCACCTTTAATTGAATTTAATGCTTATCAAATTTTCTAGGTATGATGACCGGTTTACTTACTGTTTGGTGATCATATCCGTACTGCGTTTGTAGGTTTTTGTACGCAGCCCATTCATTTGACCATACGGTTGTTACAGGTTCAACATGTTTCCATATAATTAGAACTAATATTAGACGATTATGACGTTGTACGTGGAAAAACCGTACCTCGTGCTCATTCCTCTCGGTTAACCAAAACCAAATATCTACGGCCCTTAATTAACGAAGCTTGTTAATTGAGACTAGGTCAGATGGAATCAGAAATCACTTACCGTCCATACGTGTTCCATAATTATGGTTATTTGTTTTTGGCTGATTACCATCGTTATCCTCACTACTGGATGCTTATGGTACCAGTCCATTTGTTGTGTTGTTGTTATTATTTTGATTACCAAGTAAAAGTCGTCCGCGGTTGTATTTTAGCTTATCACGAAAAAGTGCCTCGTCAATTTGGACAACTTCTTCAGTGCCTCCCATTTGTGGGGCAACATTAAGTTTTTCGGTACAGACCTGAATTAATTAAACAATGTGTTATCGTAAAATAGTTCATACAGTAGCACTTACTTCTCGTAAAAAGTTAGACCAGTCAACAACAGTTGATCGGCTGCATCCAACAGTCCATGCTATTGTCTTCGACGATATATCTGCACACCATAGCCATATAATTTCTAAAATAGTTGAAACACTAAGTTTACAGTTAGCTCGGTTCAAGGAATCGATAAAGCCGAAAAAAGTGTTTTTTCTTTTACTTAACTGAAGTGCACAGCTTTTCATTTTACATCGCATAATATTGTATGTTCACACAGTACCTAGAAGTAAAATAAATCAATGTTGATTACGATAGTTAGAAAGGGAAAGAATCACTTACCGTTCTTGAGAGTTTTCTGACGTTTTCCGTCTTTCATTTCTGTTCCACATGTGGGACATGTGGGATTTCTGTTCCACTCGTGATCTTAACTTTGTAAAACTAATTTTTGTTCACTGACGAACAACGAAAGCTTCTTCGTGTCGTTAAGGATCGAATAAAACTCGCGGGAGTTGGCTGGAATTGGTAAAGGCATTTTGAAGTTGTGATTATTAGCTGATATGAACTGTTAATATATACAGTTTTTCCAAGCATATCTAACTTATCTTTCGTAATCTTTGTAATGGATTCCGTTTCTGATCATTTTGACTTATTGAAATAAGCTTAGCGGCTTTTTTTTCTACGCTATGATCTTTGATTTCTTCCCATCCTTTGATTTGCAATGTGATTATCAAATTAAGAACAATTGAAAATAACGCGCGATATATCTTTCTCATAAATTTATTCGTTTATTCTCATATTTTTTACTAGATCGTTTGCTATTAGGGGAACACTAAACCGATATGGGGAACACCAGCTATAATGTTACTACGGGGACACCATAGCTGCATGGGTAACACCAGCTGTAATGTTACCGTAGTATTTATAGCGGTAGTGAGGGAACACCATAACTATATGGGGAATACTGGCTGTACTGTCATCAGGTATATTGGAACACCTGCTAAACGAATACCACTCACGACTCCCTTCGGTCGGCGTTCGCCAGGGCACTATTTGGAATATGTTCTAAATTTTTCTTTGACTGTTGTATAAGGTTCGTAATCTAATGTAAATATAAAAGTTTTCTCGAGACCCTGCAAAGATCTCCAGAGGCCTAGAGATATTTCTGAATTCAAAACATTGCTCTCGCCTCCCTTCGGTCGGCGTTCGCAGCCAGTATAGCTGAGCAACGTTGTGAACTTATCTGATTCCACGGAAAAACCGTCTTATATAATATAAGCTAAAAGCTTTTCTGGACACCCTCTGCAGATCCCAAGGAGATTGAAAGTGTATCTAACCCATTCGCTATGATAGATTATCTGCTCACTGTAAGTTTATTATCCGTACACGATTTTTTTTGGTATTATCACCGTTGACTGCGATCTGGCGACATTATCTCCGACGTACAGAAAACGTTTGCTTAGCTTTTTTCTCTCTGCATCAGTAGATATTTTAGATCATCTCTTCGAACATTTTCTCTCGTGTGGTTAAAAAAACTCTTTTATGCTTCTCGCTTATGACTGGCTTCTCCATAGAATATCTGACAGCCATTTTTCCGTATTTTGCGTACATACACACATAACCACTTTGTAAGACCCTAGACTAAAGTCAAGGGGACATAAAAAGACTCGAAAAGTAGTCCAACACCTTGATCGTCAACTGAAGTTATCTTTTAACTTTCGGTGGGCTGTGGTGAGCGATCATCGAATTGCTCACCCTTTAGATATAATAGCACACGGGAAGGAGGTAAATACATACTTTTCGTGAATGAACTATAACTAAACTACATCAGCTCAAAACATAAATCATGTTAAAATCAACATCAGCAAAATCAAGATGAATTAACTCATATCCTTCTGTTTCCACAGAGCATACAAAAAAATGACCCACTTAAATCCTATAAAAATTATATCTGCGAATACGTTTAAGCATTTTTTGTGAAAAGTACGAGAGGAGATCAACGTTCGAAAATAGCAAGAAAATTTTCCTTGAATCTTCCTGTATTTGTTTGATTAAGTTATCTTTAAAATAATACTGAAAAAGATATTCGTTGTCACTTGTATATAAATAGTCAAAAAAAATAAAATCCTTTTTATCTTCTGATTTTTCATCTTTCTTGCAATAATAATCTGCAACCAGACTTGTATTGGTTGTAGTTGTAAAAAATCGTGAGAAATGCCGTAATAATTAAATTGCTATAATTTTAGTTGTTACTTTTTGGGACTGAAAATAGTTAAACACAAGGCCTTGGCTCTGCCTTGAATTGGACTGAATAGTTTGCATGCCATACATCCGCTGTTGAAACAAGTAAATACTCTTTTTAAAATATTTATTTATCTCATGCAGGTCTCAATTCAAACAATCTCTTCCCAACGTAGTGGAGAAAACTAGAAATTAACGTGGCAACTTTATCTAGCAAATTAAACGAAGCGAGTACTGATCTTTCTTTTCTATTAAAGTTTATCTCTATAAAAGAGATAATTGAGGTTGGGTAAGAATTAAAATGTTTTTACTCTTTTGTTCATGAAGTTCATGTAATGGAACTCGATAACGCATGTATAAGTTCTTGATTGTGACTTCTTTAAGAGTATGTATGCTAAATTTTTCACATGTAAAACAAAGGTAGGAAGAATACGACACAACTTGTCTACAAAGCCAGAAAAAGATTTCTTTTGAAAACCTATTTTTCCAATCAATTGACTTTAGCACTTCTTTCATAATTATGTCACTTTTAACTAAATATTTTCTTTAGTTTCACTGGAAAGAAAAAAACTAAATTATAATAAAACGGAAGCCTCTTGATAGAAACTTATCCTCGCTTTGCGGCACAAATCACTATAAAAACTCTTGTGTCAAAACAAGGCGAGTTTTTGTATTTTGTTCCAGTGTGAGGCAAAATTACTTCACTCAATTTTATAATAGTACGATCGTTATCAATTCGCTAATGTCACTCCATGACTATTATACCATTGACTCGTGTCTTCTTAAGAGAGAATTACAAGAGAAAAATTATATCCTTTGTTTGTGGAGAGAGGTGAGTCAGGCTGAATTTCTTTAGATTGCATGCCATAATGTTCGAAGTAAATTCATAAATCAGCAAAGTTTCTCTATGCTAAAAAATGTTCTTAATCTCAGATGGACTAAGATCTTTCCTAATGTCCTTTCAATTTGTGTTTCGATATGTGACTGAAAATCGATCTCAAAATAAAGGCAAGAGGAAGGATGATGATGTTCGTCTGTAAGTAGTGTAGTATACATAATATAAGATAACGTTTATCGTACGCGTAGAAAACATTCTTGCTTGAATTTTCAAACAATGTGTGCAGATATTTCAGCTTTGTTACGGAAGCCACGGAATACTTTCACATTATTTTATTAGATGCAGCTAAAGCAGGATGTGTACACACACACTGTTATCTCGGAATTGATTATAGTAAGGATATACTAAATTTTCATTAACAACTACTAGTGATATCTACTGTGAGTTGAAAGATTGATCCGTATTAAATAAAATATTATGGTCCCTATGTCTTAAACGAGCAAGTTAAACGTTTTTAGCGACACAATCATTAAAATATTTATAATACCCGAATGATATTTACATACATTTTAAAGAGCAAAATTGAATAAAAGTATCTGAAGTCACAAGTACTACATAAATGGCGATTTATCATTTTGTTCGAAAACAAGTCATCGTGTCATAGTCAAAAAAATCAGAAAAATGACAGAGATACATCAGATGTCAAAGTTATAAGGAATTTTATAATCCACACAATTTTTTGATCTTTACGTTAATCAAATGAATGATTTTCCTAGCGTTTGCTCTTGACATCACTTCACTAAAATATGTTTACATTACTTTTCTCAAAACCGGTCGTCAACTTGGCAGAATGAAGTCAAAATATTTTTGAAAAAGTAGTTGTAGCTTTTCTTGCTCAAATTAAAATTAAATTACGTTTTGACGAATAGTTAGACGTGAACTGAGTTCTAGTATATCGAATTTTCTTTGGTCACATTTCTTTTGTTCTGCAAAGCAATTCAGTTTCTGAATTTGCTTTGAATCTTTTTCTAATGATTTCTTCAGTACATTTGTTCTAAATCCAATGTTTCCACACTGACAAAGATTACCTGACATGTTGTTTTTGTGTCTGAGAATGTGGAATTAGATGAATGTTCTTTACTCGAGATTAATATTGGCAATACTCATACATCATCTAGGATCTATCAGAACAGTATAATCTATGTTTCATCTGTTTTTTTTAGATTTTTATTGTAATTTTCAGAATGTCTGGTAAAGATCGTTATGCTGTATTTCCATCTCGAATGTAATTTTCTCATTTTACTCTTCTCATTATAAGATTGAATTACTTTTTTACAATTTATTTAGGGCACAAACAATAATGAAAAGTCGTTTGAAAGGTGCTCAGACTGGACATAGTTTATTGAAGAAGAAAGCTGATGCATTAACATTTCGTTTTCGGACAATACTAAAAAAAATTATTGAGGTATAAAGATCAAGTGTTTTTTCATCAGCTACGAGATATACTGACTTTTTTTGCAAATTTTAGACAAAAATGTTAATGGGTGATGTGATGAAATTGGCTGGTATTTCAATAGCTGAAGCAAAGTTTTCCACGGGTGGTGATTTTAGTCAAGTTGTTATTCAAAGTGTGAATAAAGCCCAAGTAAAAATTCGAACAAAGCGTGACAATGTTGCTGGTGTTGTTTTGCCATTGTTTGAATCGTACAATGATGGCGGAGATAGTAAGAATGAAGTGCACACTAACTATATTAATGTTATAATTATTTGTCTGTGTTGTTTAGCCTTTGAATTAACTGGTCTAGCACGTGGTGGTTTACAATTACAACGATTAAAACGTAATTTTGGTGAAGCCATTAAACATTTAGTTGAATTGGCTACATTGCAAACATCATTTGTTATGTTAGATGAAGTTATCAAAACAACAAACAGACGAGTGAATGCTATTGAGCACGGTATGTGAATTAGATAGATATTTGCGCTTAAGGCATCTTACGTTTATGTATATTTTAGTTATAATGCCCAAAATTAATCGAACAATAACGTATATTATATCTGAATTAGATGAAATGGAACGTGAAGAATTCTACAGGTAGTTCTAAACAGTTTCATTCATTCGGTTACTTAGTGGTCAGCTTTCTACGTTTATACTTTTAGGTTGAAAAAAGTTCAAGAAAAAAAGAAAAAACTTCGTGCAATAGAAGATAGACGTCTGGATGAATTACGTTTAAATGGACAAATGACAATTTTTGATGCACCAGATCTTGTAGCAGATGATAAAGACGAAGATGTTATATTTTGAAGGGTTTTGATATACAACAATTATTTTTCTTTAATACACAGTGATGTGTACATCGTGTCTTACATTTTTTTTCTTTCCATGATGTAATATAGTTGATATTTATTTATTTATTTTTCCTTTTTTTTTCTCATGATATCAAAAACGTACATGTATTTATTCTTTTTTTCGTTTAATGTATCTTTTATAAAATTGTTTCGCATATATGTGTATCTGTCTGATTTAATAAACAATCTAAATCATTAAGCTTCTATTTCTCAAAATTATAAGAAATATTGAGGCTTTAACCTAACAAAGTATATCGGGCGTCTTAACAAGTTATATTACCTCAAATTTCTTTTAAAAGTTGTCACATTAACAATGTTCATTCCTTAAATATCAACAGTAAGTTTCATAAAATTGAAATATCAAAAAAGTGAGCTGCTGACTGTTCAATGGTAAGAAGATTTTTCTACACTAAACTGTGACGAAGAAAAATGTACCATACTGAGTACTATCAAAACTACCGAAAAAATCAACTGTTTATCCACTGATACATTGTAGGGCTTGTACGGCATCGATTACAGTGGCATAAAAATATTCCAGTTTGGACTTAATATCTCGATGAAATAAAATTATTTTCTCTGCCAGATGATTTCCTATACAGGTGTGATTAGTATAACGTGCGCAAAGCTTCAAATTCTATGAAAATTTGACCAAAATGTGCACTTGTCTACCCTATATCCATACAGATAACACAAACTAGTACAAATGTGTCTGGACCACACCACAGGTTTTCTAAAAACCATAGACTTTTCGAATAAAATGTGTTTTTCGCCGTCCAGGAACATATTTATTTAAAAAGGTGATATTCAGAATCAGCGCATGAAACTGCATCTAATGATATATAAAATGGATTTTTTCGATCGAAAATACTTTTTTACAAAATTTGGGCTCTCCTGGAAATATTCCCTCAGGAATTCTTGTCCGAAAAAAATCTGAAACAACCTTATTTTGCTGAATACTGTTTCTTCAATGATAGAAAGGGTTTTTTATGTAAAAAAGTCTTATTATATGTCAGCATGCCTAAGTCAGAAATGGCCGCTGTGTGCCAGTAGCACAACGGATCAGCGTGTACCTGTTGTCCGTATGCTTTGCGTCGCGGTTTTTTCCTCTTATTCACACGATCTATGCTTAATTTCTTCACATGATTTTGGACTACGATCTCTAGGAAAATAAATAAATATAAATTATAAGACTCGTACGTTGGATAGATATATAATTGCGTAAGTTTTAATTTTTAGTGTGCTTAAAAGTAAAAACCACAAATACTGTGTAAAAGTAGATATATACCTATTTTAACTAGTTAAGACGTTTTTAGAAGATGTAGTAAGTAAATCAGTATATACATTAAAGAAAAAATTATTAACTTGAATGTGTCTTTATTTCAACTATCGATATTTGGCTGTTTTCGCTGTAAAGCGTTCTCCTCGTTGAACAATAGTAACAAGAATGCTTATGTCAGTAGATTCATTTCAAACATAAAGCTTTAGTTATGTTGTAAAGTCTTCAAGTCGCTGCACAGTGTGCAACCACATCATATTTAGGTGAAAAAACGAAAGTGCGCTTTTTCAAGATTTGAGGAGCAGATCATATATTTCAGCATACGCTCTATCTTTTTGGCATTGGAAGTTTTTTTCTAAGTGCCATAGTTAGTGAGAAAATCGTTAAGAAAGTTTTTGCCGGAAAACAGAGCGATGAAGATAGAAGAATCATTTTTAGTAAAACAAAACATGGTAATTGCACAAATCCGGGGCTTCTTAATTGAGATCACTTTTTTTGATAAAATGTGGTGTAAGATAAAAATTAACATCAAAGAAACATCACAGGGTGGAAAGTGCAAAATGAGAGTGAGTGGAAAAATAGTGATCTCACGAGGAAAGACCCCCAACTGTCCAGAAGCTTTTGGCCCAAAACTTAGTGGACAATAGGTAATCGGGTGTCCTGATTCCGAATATTACATTGGTTTGGGCCCGATTCTAGTTTTAAGGCCCGATTTTTGAAATACTGGGTTTTTGGGTCGAAAAACCATTTGCAATAAAAAAATTTTTGATCTGTGAATATAAAAGAGCATATCGCGAAACCCACGTAAAACTGTTTTTCAAGGTTTTAGAGGAGATTTTGAGCGGGTTTTGAAAGCCTAAAACTTAAAACTACACCAAGGAAAACGCGTTTGTATGATACCTATCATACAATTCTCTCTTGTAGCACGTCTTTAATATGTGCCATAACACAATAATCTTCAGAAAAGCGAAAGAAACTAGTACTTGTACTCTCTAAAAAAAAATGGTACATGACCGAACCTTAAAGGTTCAGCAGTCGTTCCCCAAACCCATAAATGGTTTCATGGTTTTTTTCCATACCGAGAAAGGTCTGTAGACGAAAAAGTTTGGTAA